AGAAAATATATGCTAGACATATTAGTCGATTCTGGAACAACAGGATCAAAACCAACCAAAATACCACTTGATCAAAACTTCAAACTTTCGAAGGATGAAGAAGAACCTATCCCCGATCCTTCAATTTACAGGAGACTCATTGGAAGATTACTCTATTTGACCATAACCAGACCCAACATTTCATATGCAGTCCAATTATTGAGCCAATTTATGCAGGCTTCTAGGCTCCCACATTTGAATGCAGCTCACAAAGTATTGAGGTACATTAAAGGAGCACCAGGACAAGGATTGTTTTATTCTTTGGCATCCAACATAAAGCTTAGAACTTATAGTGATTCGGACTTGGGGGCACTTGATTTGTTTCTTTCGATGAATATTTCAGGTCAGCATCCTAATGCCTTCATGTGGTTCATATTAGTTTGCTACAAACCAGTGTTGTCTTTGAAACATCCTAAGTCAAAAGCAAACGTGAATTCTTAGGGAACTAATTAAGAATGGGTAAGGGAGATAAATATGTTTCAGTCTTGCATTCACATGTCAGTCAGTAATGGAAATAGATTCCCACAAGTTAAAATGTCTTCTGGGGACTTGGCTACAGGACCGGGCCAATGAAAATTGAGGCTCTAAGCGAAAATTATAATTGAGACTCTATAAAATTAATAATAAATATATAGGATATATAATTAAAATTTCATTAAAAATTATGGTTCTAGTCATTAAAAATTATGCTTCGGGCTTGGCTATGTCCGCAACTTATTCGATGAAATGCCGTATAAGGATGCTTTGTTGTGGACAGTATATTTTCGTCTATTTATGCCAAACATGGGAGCCATGAGGAGGCGATTGAATTGTTTCATTCGATCAAGATTTCAATCGTGAATATTTGTTTAATAGATAGTGTACTCCCGGTTGATCTTACTCGGGGCCCAAAAAATAAACAGACCTTTCGATGGGAAAAGGGTTCAGAGCATGCGTTAATTTATCCAAATCACAATGAGATGTCGGCGTGTATGGATAATAACTGCACTTTGTGAATGTAATTTACCTTATGTATTTGTGTTTAAAGGTGTATTTTAGTTTTACAATTTAGTATTTCGTGAGAAACATTTTTTTCAATTATCATCAATAAACATTATTATTAAAATCGTACAATTCATTATTCGATTCGTACTTTTTGATTCAATTTAATTCTCATTCAATTCTTATTTTACTACAAAATCGTATTTAGCCGAGAATCGTATGATTCAATTTGAATTGAAGGAATTACATGATTTGTTTTAATTTTTTTTAACCCTCTTTCTAATAAAATGACGTTGTTTTGCTTGAAGAAACTCACCCCAAATATAAAACTCGCATACCTCTCTTTGTGTCATTTTCACGTCTGTGCCTAATTACGTCCAAAGAATAACACGGTAATTGTAGTATAGCTTTGGAGTGTCAATTCCACAAAGAGACAAATTAAAAGAATAATAAAATGAACAAAGAAATTAAAAAAAAATATTAAATGATTACTAGAGAACAAAGATTAATTTTAAATGCAAATTAAAGTGAAGTAAAGTGACTAACGGAAAAAGTATCAAATTTGACAAACAGTAAAGCATCGGGAATTTCTTGCATAAATCTAATATTTTAATTATTCTTAATTCATTGAATAACTTAGTTGAGAATTTAATTCCCAAAATCAACCGGAAGATATAGATGTATAAACCAAGATTAAACTCAATGTAACCCTTTGAAAAATTATTCACCACTTTTAAAATACGTAAATTATTATCACTATTAAAAAAATCTAACGACGACAATATACCCAAGAAAGCAATATTGCGGTAAATAATTAAATCAATACAAATAAATAATTGATCCAAACATAATCAAATAACTAATCCATTCAATAGAAAAAGCATGACTAAATCCATAAACAAAATAAATTCTATGATTATTCGGAGATAAATTGAAAATGATAAAACAAAAGAGTTTAACTAATTAGAAATCAAATACATAAATTAAAAATAAATAAAATATTATTTATTGTACAAGTCAATCCTTCATCTTACCTAAAAACTTAGTTACACATAAATATAATGGACAATAAAAATTTCCCATAAAAATAAAGCAAACTGGCTGTTGGAATTTTTCTGCTCCTGTTCTGCGCCTCCTCGCTATTCGTTCAGTATCCGCCCAGCACACCAAAAGGAAAAAGGTGAAGGCCAGCCGCCTGCCTTCCTCTTCTTTTCCTTTTCTTCCAGCCAGCCATCACCTTTCTTAAAGAAAAAGACTTTGGTATAACCTAAAGCCTTGCCTTTTGAAAAAAATATCTTTTCCTCCCCTTTTTATTTCAGTCTTTCTATTTTAGCCCTTCTTAATTTCAGCTTTTTATTTCATCCCTTAAAGCCCAAATCTACATGCATGAAAAGAACAAAGTCCAAATCTGTTGAGTGTTGGGTTCACCATGACAGCTGATGAGTTTCAGTCTTTTACTCTATGGGCTGAGATCAAAATAAAAATAAATATAAAATTCGAATAATAAAGTTTTAAAAAAATGTTAATTATAAAACGCATTTATAAATTATCTTTTACCAACCAATAATGCAATATTTAAAATTTAACATATTATAAAATCATGCTCAAATATATCTCAGTGTGAATAGATATTAAATTCAATAATATAAATTATATTTAATTATTTCTATTCACATTTTAATATTTTAATCTAATAATAGGGTATTTAACATGCATTTTTGCACACTCATCAATGCCTCTCAAGCGACTATTTGTGAAAATCACATAGAGACGACGTCTCTTTCACTTGTTGTTTCTTCTTTTTTTTCTTTAAAAACAGTTATCAAATTTTAACATATCATATTTCTTCTTTTTATTATGTGATACATGTTCTGTTTTTAATTGAGTATGAAAAGTGATTTTTTAAGTTGAATCAAGGTTAAAGATATTCCAATCAATGTAGCTAGATTCCCACAACCTAAAAGTCATCTTAGGGTACCTTACAATGATATGAGCACTCTGAAGTTGGTTTACTAGATGATGAAGTAGGAACTAATCAAGTAAATTTAAAATTACGGAGAATCGCATTTTGTACTTTGAAAATTTTAAAAAAAATTATTTTATATCTTTAAAGATTAAATTTTTCACATTACACTTTTAATATATCAAAAGTATTGCAATGTATCTCTTTTGTTAGCTTCTGTTATATTTTCATTCACCGACAAAAACTGCCTTGTTAGACTACTAATCCATCTACTAAGCTATTGTAAGTTTATTCTTAAACAAGGACATAGTTGACAGATAGATAAACCATCAAAGAGGGAAGTAAATATATGGGGGAGGAAGGAGTTGGTGAGAAGTAAAAAATATTATTAATGATCAAGTGGTGTATAAAGTAATAAGATGATCAGGAATCACATTGTTGCTTTCAGTGTGGGCTAACTACTTCCACGAGGAGAGNATATTTTAATATTTTAATCTAATAATAGGGTATTTAACATGCATTTTTGCACACTCATCAATGCCCCTCAAGCGACTATTCAACTATTTGTGAAAATCACATAGAGACGACGTCTCTTTCACTTGTTGTTTCTTCTTTTTTTCTTTAAAAACAGTTATCAAATTTTAACATATCATATTTCTTCTTTTTATTATGTGATACATGTTCTGTTTTTAATTGAGTATGAAAAGTGATTTTTTAAGTTGAATCAAGGTTAAAGATATTCCAATCAATGTAGCTAGATTCCCACAACCTAAAAGTCATCTTAGGGTACCTTACAATGATATGAGCACTCTGAAGTTGGTTTACTAGATGATGAAGTAGGAACTAATCAAGTAAATTTAAAATTACGGAGAATCGCATTTTGTACTTTGAAAATTTTAAAAAAAATTATTTTATATCTTTAAAGATTAAATTTTTCACATTACACTTTTAATATATCAAAAGTATTGCAATGTATCTCTTTTGTTAGCTTCTGTTATATTTTCATTCACCGACAAAAACTGCCTTGTTAGACTACTAATCCATCTACTAAGCTATTGTAAGTTTATTCTTAAACAAGGACATAGTTGACAGATAGATAAACCATCAAAGANATATTTTAATCTAATAATAGGGTATTTAACATGCATTTTTGCACACTCATCAATGCCTCTCAAGCGACTATTTGTGAAAATCACATAGAGACGACGTCTCTTTCACTTGTTGTTTCTTCTTTTTTTTCTTTAAAAACAGTTATCAAATTTTAACATATCATATTTCTTCTTTTTATTATGTGATACATGTTCTGTTTTTAATTGAGTATGAAAAGTGATTTTTTAAGTTGAATCAAGGTTAAAGATATTCCAATCAATGTAGCTAGATTCCCACAACCTAAAAGTCATCTTAGGGTACCTTACAATGATATGAGCACTCTGAAGTTGGTTTACTAGATGATGAAGTAGGAACTAATCAAGTAAATTTAAAATTACGGAGAATCGCATTTTGTACTTTGAAAATTTTAAAAAAAATTATTTTATATCTTTAAAGATTAAATTTTTCACATTACACTTTTAATATATCAAAAGTATTGCAATGTATCTCTTTTGTTAGCTTCTGTTATATTTTCATTCACCGACAAAAACTGCCTTGTTAGACTACTAATCCATCTACTAAGCTATTGTAAGTTTATTCTTAAACAAGGACATAGTTGACAGATAGATAAACCATCAAAGAGGGAAGTAAATATATGGGGGAGGAAGGAGTTGGTGAGAAGTAAAAAATATTATTAATGATCAAGTGGTGTATAAAGTAATAAGATGATCAGGAATCACATTGTTGCTTTCAGTGTGGGCTAACTACTTCCACGAGGAGAGCTGACGGTTCTGATCATCATTTGCTACCTTTGGCTGCAAAGTTATGTTGCTGTTTCTTTGGTTGCTCCTCTCTGCTTACGCAAGGTTGGTACGACCAGCCACTCACCTCCGCCAAGATCATATTTTTGTTGGCTGGACAGAGCAATATGAGTGGCACTGGAGGTGTGGTTAATCAGACATGGGACGGTGTTGTACCACCTGAGTGCCGCCCCAACCCGTCAATACTCCGACTAAGTGCCGGACTTTCCTGGGAAGAGGCTTATGAACCACTCCACAAGGACATTGACACTGATAAAACTTGTGGGGTAGGACCAGGTATGCCGTTTGTCCATTATATTTTGGACAAGGACTCAAGCCTGGGAGTGGTTGGTTTGGTGCCTTGTGCTATTGGAGGAACCAATATAAGTGAGTGGGCCCAAGGAACCTTACTTTACAACCAACTGGTGAGGAGGGCTGGAGCGGCGGTGCAAGGTGGTGGGACAATCACAGCACTTCTTTGGTATCAAGGTGAGAGTGACACAGTGACTTTAGAGGATGCGAAGCTGTACAAGAGCAGATTGGAGAAATTTTTTACAGACCTGCGCAATGATTTGCTGGCTCCAATGCTCCCTGTGATCCAAGTAAGCTCCTAGTTCATAGTATCACCAAGGTAAATGTGTGTTTATTAACTTAAGGGTAAATTACACTTACACTCCTTAAACTATCACCTTTTTACCACTTTATCCCCTCAACTACTAGATTTTCCATATTGTACCCTAAACTAATACTTTTGTTTCACATTGCCCCAATCATAAATATATGTAATTTTTTTGGACAAAAATCGTTGACATGTTTGAGTAAAATGAAAAAAATTACATAATTTGAGGAGAAAATGAAATAACCTTCCGTTAAATATGTAACGAAAGTTAATTATTGGGGTAATGTAAAACTAATTATATAATTGAGGGTATAACGTGAGAAATATGGTAGTCGAGAGGATAGTGAAAATAGTGTTAGTTTAGATGGTATAAGTGTAATTTATCTTTAACTTAATAAACATTCATTTTGTTGACACTGCCTTTCCGAGTTAATAACTATAGTTTAAATCAGACATTCTATAGTGGGAGACCCTCATGATCACGCCAGGGCTTACTACCTACTAGTCGTTCATCTCCCCTTTTTTTTGACTGAAAAAGAAAACAAAAATAACCATTTTCTTCAAAGATTTGTCGTGTAAAGGTTCAAAAAATTATTTGAGAAGTTGCAAATTGTGGCCTATCATTGAATAATTAGGTGTTGACCTGCCGAATGGCAGATGTGTGGATCCAAGGGATCGCAGTTGGAACCTGATTACTTGCACCTTAGTACTCCTGCTCAGGTCAATCTTGGAGAGATGTTAGCCAATGCGTACCTACAGACGGTGGCTAGCCCTGTTCACAGTAGTGCCCCAAAAAAGGTTTCACCATTTTGTTTTTGAGTTTTTGTATGCTTTGGTTGGTATACAGATACCATGTTGTTTCATAATGCTATTTGTACTTAATTTATCGCCTTATCTATCACAACCGTGATGGTGGGATATGGACTAGAAATGAAACATTACTTTTGGCGAAGATTGACCATTTGATCTGTTGGTTGTAAAACTCTTGAGAGAATAAAGGATGACATCTAAGCTAGACCCAATTGGTCAATCCGTTGATTAGAACCTGATTAGGAAATCTCCAATCAACAAAGTACGAGTTACCAATGTTGCTTTTACCAGCAAAAATAAAAATGCTAATTTTGCATTTGGTATCTGATAATTCATTAAACGAGAATGGAATGACATGTATATCACTAACTCATAAGTTTGGATAAATTATATAGAGTAATGTTATATAAATATTTGGTTACAACTAAGATTAAGTACTAGAATAAAATTAAAAAAACATTCAAAAGCTGCACTACCAAGGTTGCACTTTCCATGATCATGATTCAAATAGATATATCACATGATGGAATTTTAACATCAAATTTTCAAGCTCCAAGGAATTGGCAAACTCCAAGCGGTTAGTTTAGTAGTAGCTCAATGCCTCAATCACTTGATAAGCATATTAACAAGGCGTAATCAGAGATTTAAATATTACATGGGTATATAAACGCCTTGAGGCCATCGCCCCCAAGATTTACCCCAATTATAGAGAGGCGGTTTTGCACAAGATGCAGAACTACTCCGGTGATTGACTGGGACAACTCAATCTACAAAAAAAGTGGAAGTTGTAGTGGTTGAGAATTGTAACTATTTTTGGTTTTTAAGGCTGTTTCTATCATCTGGCAGCTTCCTATGTGTGGGTGTGCCCAATTTTAGCAAACTAATCTTTCTCCCAAACACCAAATCACAGACACAAACGATAAAATCTCGAAACAGAAGCCAATTTTTGTGCCGTTTTCCTTTCTTTGCCTTGTGTTTTTCAGCCCAAAATACCCATACCATGATATAAAAGACATGTCTCTCAGGAAGGATGGTTTGTAGGTGCGGGCGTTGTGGGATACAGACATATTTTCACCTATTCCCCTCTGGAAAACAGAGGCGGAAGCCATCTTTGCGGCATCTCTCTCTAAGCATCAGAGCCGACACGCCGGTGACCAGAAATCAGGTCAGCTTCTGTATATATAACCTTGCTGAAGCATATGTTTTTTTTTCTTCATTCACATACTAAAATTCTTAGGAAAAAGAAGCCAAGAGAGGCAAGAGGAAAAATAATTGGTCAACCTTGTGTTTCAATGTTGCGTTTCTCGAACCACCAACTGATCTAAAAGTTAAAGTTAGAAAGTGACACAAGTATTTAGATACTTTAACAACGATAATTGAGGTATATTTCAACAGCTAAAAGTCGTCTTTAGGTACCTAGTAATGGTTTAAGCATGGTAAGATTGTTTTTGCCAATTCTACATGTTAAGTACGTACCAACCTTTTGTAGATCATGACCATGTGATCTGTATAATGTAATAACACTTTATAGATCATTCTAATAATGTCGGTATGATTGACCATTCTCATAGGAATAACCTCTAACCGCGTTACTTTCAGGTGGGCTAAAAGACCTATAGAGCTTCTGTTTGCTACATTTCACCGCAAAGATAATGGCATTTCTTTGGTTGCTCCTCCTTGCTTTTAGCGGGATGATGAGCCGCGAGAGCTATGCGGACCCATCTTCAGACAAGAGTATATTTCTATTGGCGGGACAAAGCAACATGGCTGGCCGAGGAAGTATGGCCGGAGGTGTCCCAGAGGAATGTCAGCCCAACCCATCAATCCTCCGACTAACTGCAACCCTCAGCTGGGAAGTGGCAAGCGATCCACTACACAGAGACATTGACATTCACAAAACCTGTGGTGTTGGACCAGGCATGCCTTTTGCCAATTCTATCTTGAAAGGGGACTCGAGCCTAGGAGTGGTTGGTCTGGTCCCTTGTGCCATTGGAGGGACTCGAGTTGTTGAATGGCAACAAGGAACCCCCAACTATACTCAGCTGTTGACGAGGGCTAAAGCCGCCGTGCAAGGTGGTGGGACTATCAGAGCCCTTCTATGGTATCAAGGAGAGTCTGACACCAAGGATACAGATGGAGATGTCAAGTTTTACAAGGACAGAGTGGAGAAATTTTTAACAGACATCCGTGCAGATTTGAACTTGCCCACACTCCCAGTGTTACTTGTAAGATCCTAATTCCTACAAAATTATCTTTTCATCAAGTGAATTGTGTGCATGGAAATAGTTGTTCCATGTGAACGGCACATACACATAGGTAAGTCGATCCTAAGGGTCAGGAAAGACCGATAGAGAGTGCATTCCGCACGTAACCCAAAAGGGAATTGAGTTAAAATCTTCGAACTGAGACGCGGCGGCTAACAACAACGTTAAGGAGTTCGGAGGCTTCAGTGTGGCCCTCAAGAAGAGTTATTTTTTTTTGTTTAACAGTCTGCCCACCCTAGAATCAGCTCAGTCAAACGTAAGGTCCAACTACTAGAAGAGGACAACACGTCGCATGGTGTGCAGTGCGCCCCTGGCAGCCCTTGAAAATCTGGAGGACCGAGTACCTCCCAAGAAAATTGTTAACTTCAATGCTATGGAATTCGATAATGTTATTGTTCCATACTTCATTTGGTTCTTTTTATTTGTATAGTTACATGAAAATTAGCCTAAATTGTTCTATATTGATATGTTTGTTTGTTTTTTTCTTTTCTTTTAGGTGGCATTGGCAACAGGAGAAGATACATCGAATCTGAACGCAATAAGAGCAGCTCAATTAGCAGTTAATCTTCCGAATGTGATAGTTGTGGATGCCTACGGAGCTCAGACGAGCAATGGTGATCCAGTGCACCTTGCTACTCCTGGCCAGGTCGTTGTTGGTAAGAAGTTAGCTGCGGCCTTCATTGGTAGCCCTAAATGAGAGACACTTTAGGGTTATTTGCTTGATGTAGGCCTTAGACTAAAGTGGATTGGCAAGGGAGAAGGGGAGGGTTGATGTAATGATGTATTTTTCCAATAAACTGTTTCAAATTCGAATCCCATTTTTTGTTGGACTTATATGATTTGGGCCGGGGCATTTTTTTAAGAATATGCACGCGGGATATAAGTAAGTTTTGAACATACTTTACTCAATATGTTATAATCGCAAGAGGCTAAGAAGATCTGCAAGCCCAAGTCCAAGAACCACTTCTTAAAAAGCCTAACATTTAGAGGAATGAATAGGAACTTATCTATCACAATCACTCTGAGTGTTAAAAATCGGTATTAAGTAATGAAAAAAAAAAATTTGATCAGATCACTTTGGATTGAAGTTTTAAGGTTTGGAACCAAGTGTAAGTCTAAAATTGTATGAATGAGTATTATTGATAAAGAAAGGACTTAGCTAACTTGATGGCTCAGGAAGTTAGTGATTGACCTAATGATTATCGCTCTTGTTCTTAAACCTTAATGTTACGGGTACCTCGTTTTCCCCCTCATTGTAATAGTATATGAGCAAAATAAAAAAACTTGATGGTTCATAGACTTTTATAAAATGCCCAAGACATATAGGTCCCTTCCTATAAGTTGTTTGTAGATCGCATGATAAATTCTCATACACACTATGGATGGCTAACAGTGGAAGGATCATGTTGGAATTTAGGCAAAACTTGAGGGATGTGACTATTCCAATTAAAACAAAAAGAAGCAGAGGAATATTTTAGGTAAACTTGATGGGTGGAAATATAATTAGTCTAATTATTTTTTTTTTATCATTTTTTTGTACAAATTTAATGTGTTTTCTCAATGGGATTGATCTTTAACAGACATTTACTTCAACTAACAAACACTAACCCTATGGGTCTACCGGAGTGGTAATTCACTCTATCTGGGCACCATAGAGTTGCTCTCACATTATTTTCTTACATTATCTCCCATATTAAACCTCGAAAAATAAGAAAACCCTGCATTTGGTATTACATAGGCAATAATATTAAGTCGAGGTGCGTGTAAGTTGGCCCGGCCACACCTAACCGTTGAACCAAAAAAAAATGATATTAAGTTGAATTCATTATATAAAATTATGACTATCAACTTTTGTTCCTTTTTTGATATTCTCTTACTTGCAAAATTCTTATAGCAGCTTTCAAGTTTTCTGTTGCCTTCCAACCTAACTATCAAATCTATGGTAATATTATTTAGACCTTATTTACTGCATCAATTTGTTACTTGATCCGCTACATCATTAGATTAACAAGGGTTCTAATATTTGAAGGACTCCATTAATTAATCTACGGTAACAATGAATACGATCGATAAATTGTGCAAGTAAATAGGGTCCGAACAAATGATATTGTAGAGCAAAATAAAAGTAATGTACTTGATATCAGAATCATTTGTTCACCATATGTCGGTATATTAAATCCCATAATTAGTACATTATTTCTTGCCTTTTGTTACAACTTCTTGGGGTCACGATAACAACGTGGTCTAGGCTTTACATTGAACCTATTGAGNATATTATTTCTTGCCTTTTGTTGCAACTTCTTGGGGTCACGATAACAACGTGGTCTAGGATTTACATTGAACCTATTGAGCTCGAGTGATGAAGACTTTACAAACAAGGGAAACTTNACATTATTTCTTGCCTTTTGTTACAACTTCTTGGGGTCACGATAACAACGTGGTCTAGGCTTTACATTGAACCTATTGAGCTCGAGTGATGAAGACTTTACAAACAAGGGAAACTTAGTAAAGATAGAGCACCCAAATTTACCAAATATAAAATAGCATTAACTAGGAACACTAGCAAAATTGTTACACGACAATTAAGAAGAATGATGCTACTCGGAATTAACTTGATAATCTAATACAGTATAATCCCCGAATTAATTAACGTCTTATGGATGTAAAATTATAGTCGAACTATGTAAATTCTGTGTCACGGCGTTATTTGAGATATGATTTAGGATACGGCCGGTGCCACATGAATGGGTGGTCATTATATTGTTTATACAACTAACGAGAATCTAATTTAGCTGTCCACGCTATAATTACCATTAAAACCACATATCTTCTCCTCTATAGCTAGATCCAAGGATTATTTTTAAATATCTATGTCTTTATTAGTGCTAGGCTAGCTCTGAAGTTTTTTCTCATTTGGACACTGCACGTACTAATATATATGTCGCATGATGATTGACTGAAACTGATAATTTTCATTGAGTAGCCATTGTTGAATAGAGATACCACGTTCCACGCCAATTATACGATGACACCCTCATCGTTACCACTATTTTTTACGGTGGTATTAGCCAATGTTGTGTTCGGAAGACCTTCACAGACTCCTAGCCTTTCCACGCCAGGGGCCAATGTTGTTGCTAAGGACATTTTTATCCTCGCCGGCCAAAGTAACATGGCCGGACGAGGAGGAGTCCATGGCGGCAAATGGGATGGTAACATCCCACCCGGGTGCAAACCGCACCCTTCCATCCTCCGATTCAGTGCAAAGCACAAATGGGAAGTCGCAAAGGAACCTCTTCATGCTGACATCGATGTAAAGAAAATCTGTGGGATTGGACCAGGGATGCCATTTGCCAACGAGGTTCTAGCCAATGTTTCGAAAACGAGGGTGGTGGGTCTGGTCCCTTGTGCCATTGGAGGGACCAGAATGACTAAATGGGCTAGGGGCACACCCTTATATGCTCGGTTGGTTCATCGAGCCAATGAGTCATTAAGGGAAGGTGGTGCCATTAGAGGTCTGTTGTGGTTTCATGGGGAGAGTGATACTGAGAGCCGTATCGATGCTGAGGCATACAAGGATCGAATGGAGACATTCATTAATGATTTGCGTTCCGATCTCAACGTACCAAATCTTCCAGTAATTCAGGTTCTACCTTAAATTCTCTCTCTTACAGTTTTTGAATTGAATTGAAAAATGCTTATGCCAATCATGCTTGTCGATTTTACTTGTTTACATGAACACGACATAAAAACAAATTATACATGATGAATTAACCAAAGTAATAAATGAATCGGGTTAATGCTTAACTCGAATAATCAATTTAACTACTACTATAAAAACTCTACATAAGTTTGTCTATCTTTATTTCATCATTTAGGATTCTATGAATCAATTTAAATTAAATGATTTTTTATTTGGTTTTCTTAGGATTATGGATTACATACATTGTTAATTTATCATAGACCTATGTTTTGATTGGATTTGTTAAGAGTGAAAAAAGAATACTTGTTTTACATGAACATGTCACGAACACAACATGAATTCAAAATTTACATACGTGTGTCATTGGAACCAAACCACACGTGAGTCAGCAAGCAGCCATCCCAATCGANCATTGTTAATTTATCATAGACCTATGTTTTGATTGATTTTGTTAAGAGTGAAAAAAGAATACTTGTTTTACATGAACATGTCACGTGTGTCATTGGAACCAAACCACACGTGAGTCAGCAAGCAGCCATCCCAATCGACTGTGCAAGGACGAAATTAGAGGTTAATATCCAAAGTTTGAAACAAATCACTACCCACTTGAACTTAAAACTTTCGGGTTAAGTTCGAATCCAACTTATATATGAACCCAAATTCTAACGTTATGGTTTTCTGGTGCAGGTGGTAACTCCATCTGGTGATAAAAAGTTCATGGACACAGTGAGGAGAGCACAGAAAGAGGTCAATCTCCCGGACGTCTGGTGGGTGGATGCCCGTGGATTGAACATGAAATCGGATGATCATATGCACCTGACCACCATCTCTCAGGTCCACCTGGGTCGCAACATGGCTCGTGTTTTTCTTGCTTCTTATGGCCCATCATCGCCCCATACCTAGCCCAATCATATATATATCTTTCAAGTGTATTGACAGCAATTATATGTATTTATCATATGTTTTGGAACTGAATGGAAGTTGTAATTGCTGTCCTTTATAAAATTCCCTTGGGAGATAGATTTCTCGACACGGTGGTGTTTTTTTCGATGATTATTTGATATTACGGACCTTACCTGGTATTTATAGAACTAACAAATTTACTACATCATGCAATCAAAATTGCACTCATGTTCTTATTTTTACACCTTTAGCTATTGAACCTCCTTCTAGTGAGATGATCCATTTATTTGCTAATATGATATTGAGACGTTCGCGATCATCCTTTACTTTTGTGATGTTGTAGTCGCGTTTCTTGAGAGAATTTGTTATGATCTTGGATACCATATGTCCCGTTTCTGCTTTCAACAATTATTGTGTTTTTTCTACTGTGATGAACTACTTGCTTTCAAAAGTAAATTAAGGATCGACTGTTGACACAAAACCAATCCGTTCTGGTGGTGAAAAATATACTCTCCATATCAAAATCAAGAAAAAAAAAAAAAAACTTACGGGTTAGTCAACTCTAATAATAATGTAGTTGAAAAAATTGATGGATTAGTGTTGGGTTACATCATTTGGGCTGAATTAGGTTTGCGTTGGTTTTGATCCATGGAAACCATTGGGCCAAAAATACTAGACAAGCAGGTTCGGCCCGAGCCAACCAGCCTAGAGTTGAAATTGCAATGGGTATACACAAAGTCCTGCATCCTCTGAAATGAAGTACAATAATGCACAAGTTAATTTAGGGTTCAACAAAAAAATTTCTAGTTGGTTTTGAATTAGAAAACCTTATGGTATAAAATCTCAAGTCTCCAATTCCGAGTTGCTGGTTTACTTCAGGTATGGGGTTTATAGGTGCTTTCATTTGGTGTTTACACTGTAACACAAGTTAGAAAATCAAGTAATTTGAAGAGTTATTCGTTATACAGAGAAATAAATAAGGGCTCTTCGTCTGAAAATTCGAACACCAATTAATATCCCCTCAAAAGCAATGAAGGTTGGACTACTAGGCTAGNCAAAGTCCTGCATCCTCTGAAATGAAGTACAATAATGCACAAGTTAATTTAGGGTTCAACAAAAAATGTTCTAGTTGGTTTTGAATTAGAAAACCTTATGGTATAAAATCTCAAGTCTCCAATTCCGAGTCGCTGGTTTACTTCAGGTATGGGGTTTATAGGTGCATTCATTTGGTGTTTACACTATAACACAAGTTAGAAAATCACGTAATTTGAAGAGTTATTCGTTATACAGAGAAATAAATAAGGGCTCTTCGTCTGAAAGTTCGAACACCAATTAATATCCCCTCAAAAGCAATGAAGGTTGGACTACTAGGCTAGCAAAAGGTCACCCAAAAAACCTTGGCCAGCCTTAGCTTAGGGCTGTTTTCATGTTTTAATGTTTTGGGAGAATAGGGTAGTGCCCAAAACATGTATTGTCCCTTTCTTCCTCTCCATATAAAGACACCCTTGAGGACTAAAAGCCTTATCCTGTGACCTTATTAGCCATAATTGCTATTGCCCCATGACCCTACTAGAAGAAATTGAGTTTCTATTACCAGGTGTAGAAGAGTCCTTTATTCCCCCCACCTACCACTTAGGACCACAAAACCCCACTTCACAAACTTACACTCAACACTCAACAATAATACCCCCTTTTGTCATCATTTTCATACTATATTTTTCCCTTGTAATATTAAGCATCATTAACAAGAAATTANATCCTTATCCTGTGACCTTATTAGCCATAATTGCTATTGCCCCCTGACCCTACTAGAAGAAATTGAGTTTCTATTACCAAGTGTAGAAGAGTCCTTTATTCCCCCCACCCACCACTTAGGACCACAAAACCCCACTTCACAAACTTACACTCAACACTCAACATTAATACCCCCTTTTGTCATCATTTTCATACTATATTTTTCCCTTGTAATATTAAGCATCATTAACAAGAAATTAAATGTTTTCAAGGCCACTATGCATGGAGAGTAGTTTTCCTTGTTGGTTAACGACACAACAGATAAATAGAAATAGGCATTACCACAAGTAAACTGTCCAGTTAATTCTGTTTCCCTTAATCTGTCACATATCTTTTCAACAAAGGAATGAGAAAATTTTCTCTAGACTTATTAATTCAATATTCAATTCATTTAAGAGGAATTATCTTTTATTGAATGATATTATCTCCGCGTTAAAGGATTACATTGAGTAAATATCTAGAGTTGTTAAACAAAAAGAGATCGACCTAGTTTGATTCTGATACATTTAATTCTTTCATATTACAAATATAAACCAAATATGATTAAAATTAGAAAAATGTTTACTATTATAATCAGAATTGCTTTAGTTGAACCCTGTAAGCTCAAGCTCAGGCTCGGGCTCGAGTAATTTGCAAAAAATTATTAATTTTTTGTGAAGTTTCTTGGTTCCCTTTCCCTTGTTGCCTAAGGAGTGAGTTCGTTGATGGCAATGAGCCACGCCCTGTTAGCTCGCTAAGTGAGTTTGTTTTCCCTTCCCTCCATGACTGCCTTTAGGAAGGCATGGTCCCAGTACAATCTAGTCTTAAGTTCTCTTATAAACTACAATCTCATTCTTAAACCTGCCTATCATCAGTATCCAGACGATTATTAATATTCTTCTTCTCATCAATTCTATGTGCAAAACAAAAGCGTCTAGCTATAGGACTCATAATCAAACTTGAATATGTTCTTTTTAGTAAATTCCCCGTTTAAGAAGAAAAATAACAAAATAATAATTGTAATTATTAGTTTCTTGTTCTTGCTCAAAAATGAATCGAACCCAAACTACAACATATGAGCTCGAAATTGACCCAATGTTGAGTAAGAGTTCAAATTATTGTTATTTGGATTATAGGTTACTTTGATATGTTATACGGGTATGCAGTACGCAGTATGACATTTTCTTAAGTACGCAATACGATGAGAATAGATTTAACTAATACAGTTTTTTGAGTTGCAATTCATTTTAGAACTCTTATCTATATCGTTTTCACCATTATACAAACATTATATATTATATAACATCCATAAACATTAAATCAGTTACCATTTATATTATATTTATGCACAATTTTCAATTATTTAAAATAATATATAATGATAAATTTATACACGTAGTTAATTAATATATATTTTATATTTGTATTACATGTACAATTTGAGATCGAGATCATACATTTTGGTGATCTAAATTCTAAACCCACCGCCATTTGGAATCGATGTATCCAAATCGTGGTAGTCGAAAATTTAGTGAATTCTGATAATTATGATTCTAAACAAAGATATAAAAATTCGAAAAACGTGACTCGGTTAACAACCTTACTAGGGCCCAGCTTTAATTCTTTTGGATGCACAAGGAATCCACCATTTTTGGACCAAAGCAGATTGGACCATTGTAAGGTCTGGGCTCTCTAACCCTCTGCCAGAAAACAATAGACCTTTGTTTCCTCATATTGCGTGCTCACGAGGCGCCCGTTTCATACACAACTTGATGAAAGGGGCTGTCTTTTTCTGGCACTCGTTCAATGTCATGTTTGGCAATACCTGGGATGATGACAGTGACCCCTGAAGCCAGCAGAAGAGCAAGACCATCAGCCCAAAACCATTGGATACTCATCTTGTGGTCCACTACAAAAACTAAAAAACAATCCCCACTGGTTGAACAAAAGACAAGACGATAGCATTTTATGTTTCTAGTACTTCTGTCAATACAAAAATCGGGTTTACGTTTGTAACCATGAAGCAAAATGACAAGTGATTGGAACAATTCTCGGTAACAAGATACTCATCTTGCGGTCTACCACAAAAATTGAAAAACAATTCACACTGGTCGAACAAAGGACAAGACCTTAATATTTTATGTCTCGAGTACCTCAGCCACTATAAAAAGCGGGTTTGCATTTGTAACCATGAAGCAGAATGGCAAGCAATTGGGACAATTCTCGGTAACAAGATACTCATCTTGCGGTCCACCACAAAAACCGAAAAACATTTCGCAATGACTGAACAAAGGACAAGACGTTAATGTTTTATGTTTCGAGTACCTCTGCCAATATAAAAAACAAGTTTGCGTTTTGTAACCATGAAGCAAAATGACAAGTGATTGGAACAATTCTCGGTAACAAAACTGAAAAACAATCCCCACTAGTTGAACAAAAGGCAAGACGATAATATTTTATGTTTCGAGTACTTCTGCCAATACAAAAATCGAGTTTATGTTTGTAACCGTGAAGCAGAATTACAAGTGATTGTAACAATTCTTGGTAACAAAATACTCATCTTGCGGTCTACCACAAAAACTAAAAAACAATTCACACTAGTCGAACAAAGGACAAGACGTTAATATTTTATGTCTAGAGTACCTCAGCCAATATAAAAATCGGATTTGCGTTTGTAACCATGAAGCATAATGGCAAGTAATTGGGACAATTCTCGGTAACAAGATACTCATCTTGTGGTCCACTACAAAAACCGAAAAACATTTCGCAATGATCGAACAAAGGACAAGACATTAATGTTTTATGTCTCGAGTACCTCTGCCAATATAAAAATCGAGTTTGCATTTTGTAACCATGAAGCAAAATGACAAGTGATTGGAACAATTCTCTGTAACAAAACTGAAAACCATCCAATCTCATCTGAAGATATCAGAATAGAAGGGTCCTTTTTCCTTCCTTCACAATTACACCTATCACGAGTGGAATGTGTATATACCTGGCAAAAATATGTGGATGAAGAGCCCCATCCCCTAGGTCTGGTGCCAATCAAATTATTTTCTCAGTAAACATGGACCCTTTATGGCGACTTTGGATCTAGGTGCTTTTGTGTTTTGGATGTTGCTGTTCCTAGTAAATAACATGGCGAATTTGTGGATAGCGGTTGAATTAATGGTCATTATCTTCGTTGTTGAACTTTAAGGTCGTAGGTTCAAATCTCGTCATCTCCCTCCACTACCAAAAAAAAAAAAAATTTAAANGATCGCAGGTTCAAATCTCGTCATCTCCCTCCACTACCAAAAAAAAAAAAATTTTAAAATGATAAGGAAAACTTTGTTCAAAAGACGGATAATTCAAATTGGAAGACTTTGGAGAATAATTGTAATTTAGCAACACGACGTTAGTAAATTAGGATTGTCTACCACTTGATATGAATTCAAAAATAACATGGCTCAGTAGCAGAAATAGTAATCAAATTGGTTAAATGTTAAAAAAATAACACAAATTATATGATCCTATCATGATAAACCTCTTAAATTGGTAATATTTAGTAAGGTGTTATCAGTTCTTACATCCCATTCTAGGGTTAACTTTTTTTAGTTCAATTATTCAAAGAATTTTTGGTTCCCTAGATGTATCCAAGTACTATCGTATCCTATTAAATATCAATAATACTATTTAGACATAATTTACTAATATAATTTATTAAAATAATTTATTATAACCATTAAATTGATTATAAGTTGTAACATATACTAGAGTTTACTATCAAAACAATAATTATGAATAATTGTATAATATTAGTTGGGTGTTTTTTTTTTTTGGGGGGGGGGGGGGG